TGACGACTTCTGTGAAGTAGGAAAACTCCTATTTACAGATATTCACTTAACAGAGATCATACAGTATTCTTTGATGAAGTATAACTAAGTATATCCATAAAGAAAAAAGTCCTTATATTTTAGTGTGTGTTGGGGGATTTCCAGTTTTTCTGAAATTAACATAATTTCTTTAGAAAGCATTAGAAAGAACAGCTGAATAACTTACTTTGGGATGATTAAGGCAGGGAAAATACAAGAGACACAGACAGACAGAGCTGTTTTATTCTGTCTTGCTTGAAAAGGACCAATTACAGATTAAACTAAGATTCAATCTATGAAGTTAGGCCAAAGGGGGACATTCTCAAGTGGGCTGTATGAAGTTAGCTTTCTAAAGCCATTTTCGTTAAGAAATTTAATTTCTCTAGTTCCCTTTCCCAAGGTGAATAAGGACAGACCTGTTGGGTTAACCTGGGTTTGTACCCTGACTCTAAGTGGTTCTGGATTAACCTTTAATCCAACCCAAAATGGTAGCCTCTGACTTCCTAAGGAATCTTTTGCTCTCTCTCCTTAATCATTCTCTAGCCTTTTAGTCTCTGCCGCCCTCTCTGGTTTTCCTCGCCCCTCTTTCTCTCATTTCACCCCACTTGGCAAAAACACGATCCTTCTATAACTTGGCTGAGAAGGGAAGATCCAAAGGAGAGCATGGAGGAGAAAGGATAAGCTGAGAAACACATGCTCCTGGTCTTAAGGGTCGACTGGAGACATGAGGCTTGGACAGTCAGGAAGGCTCCTACGAGGAAGAACTGGGGACAGGGACTGTCTGGGAAGGAGGGAGTTCTGAGGAGAGCTCTGGAGAAGTCCCCCTTTCTCACAGGGTTTTTCACAAAACCACAGCTGAAAGGAAAAAGAAAACTGCACCACTGGCCTTTTTCCGAGCGTGGCCGCCTTCCGCTCGGCTCAGTGCCCGCCACACGCCCAGGAGTGCATCTGGATCCTGGAGGGCTCCCTTCGCAGGTGACAGTGCTTACGCTACACTGGAAGAGAGCCAGAAAAGCGCCCATGAGAACCAGAAAGCGAACTTCCACCAGCAGGATCATCTCTCTAGGCACCTAAGATGGGGAATCAACACAGATATCTCGGCAGCGTTGGATGTCAGGAAAAGCGAGGGAGAGATAATGCCCCCTCCCCAGCTCAATATAATGGTGGTGGGAGGAAAGAAAAAAATGTATCTTCTGTGACACATCTGCTGGGAGCAAGACAGAAGAGACTAAGTCAAGGCCAAATGTCTTCATTTCTAACAGACACAAGAAGTAACTAAAAGAAGAAAGTGACCTGGGGCCTAAATCTAGTCATATAAGAACGGCTCTGCTACACTGGCTGGCCTGGAGAATTAAAGCTTCAGAATGAAAGCAACACCTTCCACCGCTCAGGTGAGGCTGCTCGTAGAGGACAGTAAACAGAGAAGAAAGAAAAGCAAATAACTTCGCTCTAAGACGTAAAAAAAGTCAAGCATAAATACACCAAAAAAAGAGAGCTGACATTGTCAAAAGTCACGATCTCGTAATAAGTCACACGAAAAAGAGCTCATAAAGCTGAGGAGAGAACATTAGACTTTGACGTAAGAGACCTTTGGCAGTTCACAAACTTTCCTTCTCTTTAATTACTGTGTTCATAAGATGCTTGATATGATCCCACCTAGTAAACAAAGTGGAATTAGAAGAATGCTCTAACAGATCAAAAAGACTAATTCTTACTTTACTGAGGTAGAGCTAAATTCCTACAAACCCTGTTGATAAAACTCAAACTCTCAGTCTTCCTAAGGAAACAAAAGGGTACCAATGATCTGCTGGAATACTGTATAGCAGAGGAACCTCCAACTTTCAAGTAATAAGCTTCTCAGTTCAGGATGTGGGTGCTGTCTGAAGAAGGTGGCTAGTGGCACCATCTCCTCTGCCACTGAGCCCTGTGAAATAAGCTTTCACTAGTCAGAAAGGTTTGCTGGGTTTCCCTCAGATTCCAAGTGACTAGGGAAAACAGCAAGCACAGGGACTTACGAAGACCATCCCAGGAGAGCAGGCTGGTGGGCGCAGCCTATCTTCACCCTTTCAAAATTAGCCCACTATACAAGTCAGGTGGGTCTCTGACATACACACCGTTTCTTGGCTTAAGAGGACAGGTTCCCATTCTGGGAAACATGGTAACTGATAATAGGCAAGTTATTTCCCGGAAAATACCAGCTGGCAGGCTGAATGACCTGGATGTACTTTGGGCTCCAGCACCTCAATTTTCTAAGATAACTGCTTCTTAAAATCTCCTCTACTCCAGAATCTGGTCAGAGCATGGCCACCTCTCTTATCTGTCCACTTAACAGAGAGTTGACAGCTGACCTGTGCCTTTCCCCCCAAATTAAATTAGAAATTGTTCCCTTTGTCAAAGGGAATTAGATGGGTTAATCTTCAGGATCAGTTGGGACCAGCCTCCCACGTGAGGCAATAATAAGGCTCCTAAAGACAGTGTGGCTATTTGAGGGGACAGAGAGACTAGACACAACCAGATCTGGTTGTCGTCCAATCTTGGGCCTCTTGGAACCAAAAAAGGATTGAAAGAACACACATAATAATAGACACCAACTCCCAGATCCCCCATCAACTCCAAGTTTTAAGGAAATGTGCTTCCTAGGACCAGAAAGCAAGGTTTCTTCTACTAGGAGAAAACTAAAACATGAAGCAGCTCCAAAGGCGTGGAAAAGATTCATTCACTTGCAGGAACGGCTGCTCGCCTAGGCCTGCAGGGTGTTCTAACAGTGGGAGCAATGCCCTGCGCGCGTCCTCAGGACAGACTGCTGGCTAAAGCCGGGCTGGGAAGGCACGTACTTTGCTTTCGTTAAAGGAAAAGAAACTGGTCGCGCAAAGGAAATGTGTGACATTCAGACTGAAGAGAAGACAGGAGGTACTCTGGACCCCACAGCTAAAAACAACTTGTGAAAGGCCACAAGAAGAGGAAAGGAGAGAAGCAAGGTACTGTATCTGAGAAACGGATCACCATCCGCCATCTCAAAAAGAGGTTACTGAAAGGGGTGGATTTCTATAGTTTTTCAATAAACAAAAGAAATTAGACTATTTAAAAACACAAACAACCCCCAAAGGGTCCAAAGTACCACATTCAACTCCACAGACTTGATTCAACCTTGCACATCACATCCCAAACCTGAGTCACATGCCTTCCTACTGGGTCACCAACAGCAGGCTGCTGTGTCAAAGCCTCTCCACAGCTCGCAGCACACTGGTAACAGGTTCCCGGTAACTTATGGGGCGTGTGTGGGGGTGTGTGTGTCTGTGTGTGAGAGGGAGAGAGAGAATCTATTCCCATCAGTGGCCTAGATCAAATGCAAAATTCTGCACTTCTGTTTAATTTCTTATTTTGAGACCCAAAAAGATGAAGTAGGAGAGCAGAACTTCAAGAAGATCTCAAGAAGATGACAACTGACTTTGCCTAGATGAGACCATGGTGTTGGCTAGAGTCGAAGGGATCAGAGCCCAATCGGAGCTGCTGCTGGACAGTTCAAACACGAGTGAAGGTTCACCTTTTGTAGGAAAGCAGCAGACCTATGCCTGGGGCACCGGGAACCCTGGGTGTCACTCAGGGAAGGTACCGGACCTTCAACTTTATTCAAGTAGCAACTTGAATGTGATGAGGTTCCTTTGCTCTGTCACCCTTTCTCCTTCACACGCAAGGGAGGCAGACACGTTAGCGTGAACAAAGGAATTTCACCTAGTAGGCTGTTAATAACTCCTACAGGTCAATCTGTGCACAGCTCCTCTTATAGGATCTGACATTTCACAAGACAATGACAATTACAACTGGGCCTTCAAAATGGTCCTTAACCTGCTAGATCCCAAATCTCAACGTATTTCCAATAGAGATAATTTAGTTCTTCAAGAGCTCTCTCATGCTGCGGGAGAATATAAAATTAAATTTAAGTGAGCTTTGTCTTAAGTTCTTTTCAGTAAAAACCCTCAGTCCATAGGCGGGCCAACTCCTACGGACACGCTGAGAGGTGGTGGGACCGTCCTGCTGAGCTGGAGGAGTCCGCAGGTTTGGAGTTCTGCCAGCGAAGCCCCGACAGGCCAGACGTATTCCTGACATAAACCCCGAGCGGATTTCCCTCCTCCTGTTTCAGGATCTAATGCTCTTCGGAGCGTGGCTGCCCCGGGCCTGGAGAAAGGCCCGCTCGGCAGGAACTGAAGGACAACCTCAAGCCAACGGCTTGTTTTCTCCTCCATCACTTTCAAGCTTCCAATAGGAGGAGGGGGACAAAGACACAAAGACAAAGGACGATCGGCTCCTCCGAACAGTGCCGGCCGCTCCGAAAACCGGCGGGGACGCGGCGGGGAGGGGAGGCGGCCGCACAGGCATGACTGATTCCCGGGGAAACATGTGGAGGCCCCGCCAGGCCCCCAGCTGACAGCCGCGCCCAGGCCCACCGTCCGGCGGAGAACGCGCCCCCGCCCCAGCCCCCGCCCCCACTCCGGCCTCGCGCTCCGGCCCGGTGCCCCCGGCCCCGCGCTCCGCCCGGCCGGGACCCAGCGGCCCCAGGCCTCCCCGGCCCCCCCGGGCCCAGCCTCCGGCCGAAGCGCGGCCAGTGGTCAGCGCGGCCCAGACCCACCGCCCTCGCAACGGCCCGCCTCACTCACCCTCCGTCACCTCCAGCACCTTAATCTGCTCCTCGGCGGCCGCCCGCACCTCCTGCACCGGGGACAGGATCCCGGTGAGCGTGTCCACCAACGCCTCCTTCAGCCCCTGGGCCACCGGCCCCGGCAGTCCGGAGGCCGCACCAGCTGCCGCCGCCGCCGCCATCTTGCTCCGCGCCGCGCGCCAGCCCCGCGGCCCAACCCGCCGCCGCCGGACGGCTCCTGCGCGCGGCCAATCCGCGACGCCGCGCCTGCGCACTGGCCGGGCAAGCGCGCGGGGGCGGGGCCGAGGCCCGAGCCTCCGGAGACAGCTCCACCTGCCGCGGGAACGAGAACTGCACCGTCTCCGCAGGAACCTGGCCGGGGGGCCAGGCGGTGGGGTTTCTCCTGCGGCTTAACGGCGGCTGAGCAGCCTTGCCGGGAGCGCAGCTCGTGACCTGTGACTCCACATGCACCGGTTCTTCACGCGTAAGATACTAAGTCAAGAGAGGGTGGGATGGGGAAGGGTGGACGAGGATTTAAGGAGAGGGTCGGAATTAGCTCCTCTTTCAAACCAACCGCTTTTGCCCCGAAACAAGTGAGAGTCTTCATCTCTTAGCCTCAGGAATCCAAAGGTCGGGGGAAGGAATCTGCGTCGACTGGGCAGTGGGGAGTCCATTGGTTTTTCAGGTGGATGAACCCAACCTCAAGGTTGGACCGTGGCTGGCCAGGAGAGAGCAGCGTGGGAAAGGGAATTCCGTCCAGGGTAAGTTCTTACAAGTCCTATTGAGAATAAGTCCTACTAGCTGAGAAAGTATAAAGTTTTTTTCCAGGGAAATTATGGCTGGACCTTACAGGGTGGAGGGATAAGTAGTTAATATGGCCATCCCGGGCTGCTCGGGGACATGGCTCAAGGTGCAGAGACACTCCTAAAGCCTGGAGCAAGCGGAGAGGATTGTTGAGAGGGGTTAGCAGTGCAGGCAGGGCAGGGGCAAGCACGCGGCGGCACAGGCATGGGGCTGTTGTTGGAGTGCCAGGGTCAGAGCAAATGGGAACAGGCATTTCTTAGTAAGCTGTTCAGGTTAAGTGCCTTGAAAACGTTTCTAGGAACCACGACTCCTTCCCAAGTGGCAAAGGAAACCAGTTAGCAATTCCTAGCCCAGTTCTAAGACTTCAGAGGCTAAGCTGATCACAGGAATTAAGTCACCTCGCCTGAGTATTCTTCCGAAAGAATGATTCCTCGATTATTTATTTTGAGGAGAGCTCTAAACCCACTTGCCACCTCCTACTAGAGGGCAGAGGTGGCTTGTGTCACCACAATTTCGTGGGAGAAAGATGCCCTTTTGGACACCACAGTTCCACAGTAGGGCAGAGTAGGACTTCCTATTTTCCTTCTTTCAGTGGCCAGAAGCAGAACTCTATTAGAACAGCTTCTTTTCTCAGAGGTTTAGTCACTTTTACCCCAAGAAGAAAACTTAGGCAAGTCCAGAGGGTGGTGTTTTCAAACATCGAGGCAGTGGAGGGAGGATTCAAAGAGCCCCGAGGTCTGGGCTGGACGTTTCGAGTTCTGGTGAAGGAGGCTGCGTCCAGTCTGCAAGCAGGACCCCACCCCACCCTCAACCAAAGGGGCCGGGAGGGTCCTGCTTAGGGCTGAGGATCAGATATCCAGGCAGCTGGTTCTTACCTCTGGGTTTGGCAAATGACCTTCCCGATCAAAGGCACAGGCCAGAAGATAAATGGAAACAGAAACCAGACAGAGGGAGCTGGAGAGAGCGATAGGGCAACACAGAAGATAGCTTTATTGAAATGCAAATGGCGTCAAACAGGTGACTCTTGGTGGGAGGAGACATGCCTGATGGACAGAGGGCCCAGGTGAGGGGCCTCCGGCAGTGATGGAGGAAGGCCTCTTCTGCGGCCCGGCATGGACTTAACTTTCAACCACTTTGTTATTTAAGATGAATCACCGAGGGCACGGCCCAGCTCTCTTTATGATTGTTACCGCAACTATGTACAACGGCTCACTTTCTCTACATCAGATATAAAGGGGGGTAGGTTGAAAGAGGGAGGGCCAGTGATAAAAACCATAAACACACAGACACACACACATATCCAGGTTTGGGGGTTTGTGCACAATAAATTTAAAAAAAAAAAGTGTTGCAAAGATTCCTGCCCACCTTCCACCTGAGGATCGCCATGCGTTTGAGAAACAAGATTCCATCACACAAACAGCGCTGCCTAAAATGGGGATAGGTGCGTTAGGGACAAGGAAAGGAACCCAGTAGGGGCTAGAATTCATTTGAGAAAAAGATTGTTCTGTTAAAAAAAAAAAAACACCAAAACCCAGAAAACAGCAAGTGGGAGGCCCTCGCACAGCAGTGGCCCAGAGACGGGCTGGGATGGGGCTGGGTGGGATGGGAACCCCTGCCTTCCCATCCACATCTTCTGTCTGGAGACACAAGACATGGCCTGGATGCGGGGAGAGCCCTTAGGAGCTGGACGAAGGGCCCGGGGTGACTTTAGTGCAGCGCTTCACTTGCCTTCTCGTCCTCTTCCAGCTGCTTGGTCCCCGAGCCCAGGAGGCCCAATGCCAGATGGTTCTTCGTCCTCCACCCACAAGTGCTCTCATGAGGAAAACGGACAAACTTGAAACAAAACCAGTTGTACGCACCTCATCTCCCACAAGGCCCCACCAGTGGGGGTCTGTGAGTTTGGAAAGATATGAAGCTCCTTTCAGATTAAAAAAAATTTTTTTTTTATTCTGTCGCCACGAGTAGTTGTGTGTCCCGGTGCGGGGAAAGGATGGATGACCCCGACGACTTGGTACTCCGCTGCCTCAACCTCTCTCCTGCGGACTGAGCAGGGCCGGGGTGTGTGTGTTTGGGGGTGGGGGCAGGAGGTTCTCGCAGGTTCTCAGACCTGGCAGTGCCCTTTAGAACTGGGGCAAGGGCGAGGGATGCTGCTAAGAGAACAAGTTTTCATGGAAATGCAAGTCACATTTTTTAAGCCATTCTCATCCTATTATATCACCAGAAAAAGGCTGAGTAGACACGTCACCCAGCCGAAGAGCTACCTGGAAGAGCTCTCCCACTGCGTCCCCCTGGGAAGCCCCTAGGAATCTCAGAGCCATGACATTTTCCTCTGAAGGTTGTGTTTGACTAGGAGATGCAAGCATTCCCCCCTAACTTCTGCCCAAAGGCACACATACCCGTCCTTTCTGTTAAATGAAAGGAAGAACAGAATCATGAGGAAGCACGAGAACACTCTGAAACTAATGTTAAAGTCTGAATTATAACCGAGGACCTTATTTTTGGTCCTAAAGCCCCAGTGTGGGGACTCCGACCCTTGGCTTCCCCTAACACAGTGAGCTGCAAACTGTAGCGTGCAGCAGAATTACCAAGAGGTTCGTTAAAACACGAATCACTGGGCCTTCTCCCCAGTTTCTGATTCAACAGGTCCGGGATGGGTTCTGAGAACTTCATTTCTATCAAGTCCTCAGATGCTGCCAACGCTGCTGGTCTGGAAACAGAACATAGTAAGAAATGAAAGAGGTGGGCGTCAGCTCCCAGTTCCGACACAGAAAATATAGCAGCACACAATATGTTGTTTTGGCAGAAGGCTATGAATTTGAGTAGGGAATGTCTGTCACGGGGGCCTATCCGATTAACTCACTTGTCTAGAAATCAGAATAGTTGAGAGGAGGCAAAAAAAGAAAAAAAAAAGAAATGAAAGAGGTGAGAATTCCCTGGCGGTCCAGTGGTTAGGACTCGGTGCTTTCACTGCTGTGGCCTGGGTTCAATCCCTGGTCAGGGAACTAAGATCCTGCAAGCCGAGGGGCACAGCCAAAAAAAAAAAAAAAAAAAAAAGAGATGAATCAAGATGAATCAAGGGACCAAGTGTTCACTTACTTCCATGACCATGCCTATCACACAAAACTCTCCGTGGCATAACCACTAAGAAAGAACCAAAACAGCAAACTGGGAGGATCCAGTACACACAGGCTAATTTTCCACTGTGTTGGTATTTCTGCAGCTTCCAAATTTCTCTTGGTATCCTCACGTTCAGACGATGCCGTCTCTCGCAGGGTCTGTGGCTGGAGCTGACACGCACACGTGGACCCTCAGCAGTGGGCAAGCCAAGGTGATGGCCCCCTATATCCCTGATCAGGTTGACTGAGGGCTCATGAATATATAAAATGGATTCAATTATAAAGCATTATCCTCAGGCTCTGGCCTTCTGGGAACACAGTGTCCCTAAGACCATTTTCTTACGGCCTCTTTGGTGGGGGCCATGGACAGAACTCACTAGTAGTTACATAAGAGAGTACTGGGGTTCCACTAGTGAACCCTCTGGAAGAGCACATTTCATCCCATCAGTTGAGGGGGGTTGCTTACTAGTAGACTAGAGTCTACTTACTAGCTTCAGCTTAGGTAAGGCTTCCCTTAGGTAAGGGAAAAAAGTATGATGAGAAGTTACATTTGGTGACCCAGATGACTTTAGCCCTAGAAGGAATGCCTCGTTAAATGTGTGATTAGGACAGGCGCAACTTCCTCTCCCAAACGCCTTGCAATAAAGGGTCCCTAACGTAGCATGGAGGCTCGCCCTGATCCCAGCTTACAGGGCCAAGCCCCACTCATGCAGGCAACTTTCACCCCTGGGCAGGGTTGGTGTGTGTGAGGTGCTGGTGGGAAGGCGCAGGTCACCGCTGCTTTCTTCCTCCCCTTGGAAAAGTACAGGAAATAAAGTGACCTCAGAGACTGAAGAGTGCCCCTCTTGTCTCAGGGAGCTAGGAGCAAAGAAGTGGTGAGATTAGGCCCAAACCAGGAAAACCAGAAAGCACGAAATAAAAAAATTTTTTAAAAATCACTATTTTGTCTTGGGTCCTTAAGGAGTATGGATAGATGAGTGAGAAGGTTGGTAATTCAGAACCAAAGCTTAGCATGTCAATCACTAAGGACTCTGCAGTAGGGGCTCCCCAGGGCCTCAGGAAACCCAACTTCCCTGCAGCTTCCCGAGGCCTCAACCACGTGACAAAGATGCTGGGCTGACACTCACGCACACGCAGAGATAAGCACCGCAGAGCTGCCTCAAAGCAGAGGTTTTAAAAAATACTCGATGAAGCTCAGAAAATAGGGAGTGGCAGCAGTCAGCTGCTCTTGTGAGAGAGACACACACAGACATCGGGTCCTCTGCTGGCCTCCATCACCTAGTACTTTATTTTTTGTGCCTAGGCAGGGGCTGAGGACAAATACACTGGACAAAACGCGTTGGTCTCCTTCATCCAGGAACGAGGGGCCGCGGCCGCACCTCTGCCCTGAAGCGGGGCTGGGCGTTGAGCCACGTGGTCTGCTCGCCGGCTTTGGTGAGGAAAGGAGTTGGGGGCTGGAGTGGGGGGAGGGCACACACTCCAGTCCTGGAGAGGCCGGATTCTTCTCAAGGTGCTGGGCGTTGAGAGTTTAGCCCTGGGACCCAGCTTTTCTTTTTTGAGGGATCCCAGTGGTCTCGACCAAGAAGCAAGGGTGTAGGTGGGAAAGAATGCTGTGGATCTGCACTTGCCACTCATTCCAGGGTGGAGGCAGTGGGGCTCGGGCTTCAGCTCCAGAGGACTCGGGATGAGCGCCCCGAGGGTCCTAGCACCGTGAGGAGTTTCGGCCTGCCCCGGTCGCCATGTCACCGTGATTCCTGGGGATGATGCACGCCCACAGCCAGGGGCCCAGGCTCCAGAGGGAAGGCAGAGGGGCAGTGCCACTTCGCCAGATGGGATCCCGCTTTCTGGAGGCAGGCGGCTGGAGACCCGGGCTAAACGCGGCAGTCAGCCGAGAGCAGGGCGGTGGATCCTACGGGAACGGAGATGAAACGCCGGAACCTGAGGCCTCCAGAGCCAGCCTGCTGAGGATCCACGTAAACTTCGCGGTGGTATCCACGGTGACCAGGGAAGCGGGAATCGCTTTGGGGGGGTCTGAGGCAGTTGGAATGGAGGAAGAGGGTCACCCCTTTCCTTTTTCTCAAGTAGCCAGTTAACGCCCATGACCGAAGGCACTGGCTGGGCAGCACCGAGAACAGAGAGAAAGGCTCAGCCCCCGGGTGGAGACGGCGCTGGGAGCCTGAGCCCGGCCACGGGACTGCAGCCGGGGAGGGGCCACGAGAGGCCAGAGCCCAGAGAAGGCCCGCTCGGGTGTCTCCCCGTCCTTCCAAGCTAGAACGCCCAGCTGCGGGGCTTTCCTCCTTCTGCACGGCAGAGACCTTAAGGCAGTGATGTCAGCACCATCCTTGGACAAGCAGCCTCTTCCCGCTCAGAATTGCATATTTTCCGGCTGAGCTGGGGGTCTCCACGGCTCTAGCGGCATCAGCAGACATCGTCTCGAGCGGAGACGAGCCCGTCACCCGTGGCGGCCACCAGGTGAATGCAGAAGCTTTTGGAGGGAGCAATCTGGACCACCTTTTGGACCTAAATGAAAGTCTTCTGATATGAAGATTCAGAGGCAGCTACTCCTTGGTTTGGCGGGACAGAGCGATCCTGGTTAGTGTGCCTGTAGGTTCTGATAAGGTCTTGTGCTACTTGGGGATCTGAAGAGCAAACACTTGGGCCCAGGCTCATCACACATCCCTGGTCTGCGGAGCCCCAAACCGCAGCCTCACCAGGCAACCCAGTGCGCTGGACAGCTAATCACGGGCTTCTCGCTGGCTGGCTCCTGGGGTTTTGGCTCCGTTTCTCAGGTGATCCTGAAGGTCCAGAAAACAAGGAGATGTGTGCATTTAATGGAAGTTAACATTTCCTGCTAGACTGTGAACGTAAGGGCCCACGTCTTTTTTTTTTTTAACCTAATGACTTGTACACAGTAAGCGCCCTGTAAGTGCTTGTCCGATGAAGGAATTAGGACTGCCGAAACTTCAGGGCAACTTCTGCAAAAAGTGGATCCCTTTGGAAGGCAGATCTCTGCCACCAAATCAAACTCCTTATATTCTGATTGGGAGCATCTCACATGGATGTCCACTCCTAAGGGACTAGTCACTTGTTCGAAACCAACAGTAAAGGCCGGCTGGGGATTGTGGATTCAGTTGGGCAAAGCGGTCGCCATCAGAATAGCGCAGCGAGGGGCTCCACAGGCCCCAGGACAGACAGACTTCCAGTTTGCGGTTTTCCTCCAGTCCACGGGGAAGCTCAGATTAGATCTTGTATCAGGGTGAGGCGATGCGCTCTCCTCCAGAGGCTGGCCGCCGGGCTCCAGGCAGGGCATGTGTTTTCTCAAAAGGGACCTCGAGGTCCCTCGTGTCCCGCTGCTGAGCCAATGCTACATGTCCCATGTGAGCCCCAAGGGTGGCAGACACAGTGGCATGGCCGGTGTCTAGCTGGTACCAATCAGGTGGCATCGGGCTCTCCAAAGAGCGGCTTGGAAAAGCAACGTGAGCATCTCGTGGACGTGGGAGGAAATGGGAAAAAAAACAAACCAAAAAAAGAGGAGGAGAATAAATAGGCAAATGGGAGGGGGAAATGGAAACAAAACAAAAAACAAAAATAAAAAGTAAAAAAAGTAGGGTTTATTGACTCATGCGTGTTAAATTAGAGGCTGAGATGGAGCCGGCGGTGCTTCTCTGAAGGCTGTGGTGGCACCTCTGGGGTCTGGCAGCTTCTCAGATCACAGCCGTCTCGTCGGTGCCCCCATGTGGTCCAGACGGCAGGGCGGGTGGCACGCTCTCTGCCCAGGCAAATGGATTTCCTCCCTCCAGCTTCAGCTTT